AACTAACTAACTAACTAACTAACTAACTAACTAACTACTAACTAACTAACTACTAACTAACTACTAACTAACTAACTAACTAACTAACTAACTAACTAACTAACTAACTAACTAACTAACTAACTAACTAACTAACTAACTAACTAACTAACTACTAACTAACTAACTAACTAACTAACTAACTACTAACTAACTAACTAACTAACTACTAACTAACTAACTAACTAACTAACTAACTAACTAACTAACTAACTAACTAACTAACTAACTAACTACTAACTAACTACTAACTAACTAACTAACTAACTAACTAACTAACTAACTAACTACTAACTAACTAACTAACTAACTAACTAACTAACTAACTACTAACTAACTAACTAACTAACTAACTAACTAACTAACTAACTAACTAACTAACTAACTAACTAACTAACTAACTAACTACTAACTAACTAACTAACTAACTAACTAACTAACTAACTACTAACTACTAACTACTAACTAACTAACTAACTATCTATCTATCTATCTATATATCTATCTATCTATCTATCTATCTATCTATCTATCTATCTATCTATCTATCTATCTATCTATCTATCTATCTATCTATCTATCTATCTATCTATCTATCTATCTATCTATCTATCTATCTATCTATCTATCTATCTATCTATCATCTATCTATCTATCTATCTATCTATCATCTATCTATCTATCTATCTATCTATCTATCTATCTATCTATCTATCTAACTTACTAACAATTTTGGATTCATCGGTCATCGGAGTTTAAAATTTAAATAGGACTCACAAAGACCCACTCTCCATAACTCTACATTGTTTGATTCTTCATACCAATTTAGATTTTGTTTTTTTTTGTACCTCATCGCGGATCTAAGCTGCTGTTAAGGACCAGCAGAGATTTAGTTTCGGATTCATCTTGCGATTGTCTCGGCTAAAACTTACTAATCTTAATATGAATCGACTGTATGTTGAAATCAATGATTTGAAGAAAAGCTGTTATGTAGGTGATCATTGTTTGTGCGTCTACATGGGATCGGTATTACAAACATTAAAATATTTGACTATTTACTCATGTAAACTCAGGAATTAATAATTATAATTTTGTACTTGTTTTGATCTTGATCATTACAATCATTATTAACAACAATTACTAATAAACTTAAACTACTTTTACTATCAAACTATATAACAAGTGGTATAAAAATCTCAAAGTATTTCATTAAAATTCTGTCTATGTATAACATCTCTTTATACTAAAGTATAAAATTGCAACATCTACTAACTGTAATTATTATATTGGCTGGTTAAAGTCATAAGATAGCTATCAATTTACATTGATGAGTATTTTTTTTTAATTACAGGCTTTAGAAGAGAAGATGATGTTGTTGAACAAAAGTAGAAAGTGTCTTTATCTTATGAATATTAAACAAATTATTTCCCATGGTAGATAGATAAAGTACCGGTAATAAAATTACTAGACACTGCAAGTAACGCCAACACCACCCAAATTCATAAATAAATTTCATTTTCAGCGACTATGGTCAACGAATAGAATAGCAACAACAAGAAGTTTCATGTAAGATGCGATTTGAAAGAAAAAGCGAAATGAAACTGCTCTTAGGAAAATCTAGGTCTATATATAATTACAACAACTTGCTCTTGGAAGATGCAATACAATACTGAAACCAAAATAATAACACATCTTACAGAACAAGTTGAGGTAGCAGTTATTTGCAACATGTGTGTGACAACGTAAAAAAAATCGCTATCACTGGAAAAAGTCTTTGATTGAGAAAAGTGTAAGAGTGGCCAAATAAGGAGATTTTTCTTCGTATAACCTTATTAATTTATAACACACTATTTGGGGCAGACACGGAAATTCACCACTTTATTACTTGGTACGGTACCCCTCCAATACTTTCGCGACTTTTTTCGTCTTTATTTAAATTTATGATAAGTATTTCACTTAGTAGTAAAGAGATTTGTGTATAGTCTACTTAGTCTAGTTTATAGTCTAGTTTATAGTCTAGTCTATAGTCTAGTCTAGTCTAGTCTAGTCTAGTCTATAGTCTAGTCTATAGTCTAGTCTATAGTCTAGTCTATAGTCTAGTCTATAGTCTAGTCTATAGTCTAGTCTATAGTCTAGTCTATAGTCTAGTCTATAGTCTAGTCTATAGTCTAGTCTATAGTCTAGTCTATAGTCTAGTCTATAGTCTAGTCTATAGTCTAGTCTATAGTCTAGTCTATAGTCTAGTCTATAGTCTAGTCTATAGTCTAGTCTATAGTCTAGTCTATAGTCTAGTCTATAGTCTAGTCTATAGTCTAGTCTATAGTCTAGTCTATAGTCTAGTCTATAGTCTAGTCTATAGTCTAGTCTATAGTCTAGTCTATAGTCTAGTCTATAGTCTAGTCTATAGTCTAGTCTATAGTCTAGTCTATAGTCTAGTCTATAGTCTAGTCTATAGTCTAGTCTATAGTCTAGTCTATAGTCTAGTCTATAGTCTAGTCTATAGTCTAGTCTATAGTCTAGTCTATAGTCTAGTCTATAGTCTAGTCTATAGTCTAGTCTATAGTCTAGTCTATAGTCTAGTCTATAGTCTAGTCTATAGTCTAGTCTATAGTCTAGTCTATAGTCTAGTCTATAGTCTAGTCTATAGTCTAGTCTATAGTCTAGTCTATAGTCTAGTCTATAGTCTAGTCTATAGTCTAGTCTATAGTCTAGTCTATAGTCTAGTCTATAGTCTAGTCTAGTCTATAGTCTAGTCTATAGTCTAGTCTATAGTCTAGTCTATAGTCTAGTCTATAGTCTAGTCTAGTCTATAGTCTAGTCTATAGTCTAGTCTCTAGTCTAGTCTATAGTCTAGTCTATAGTCTAGTCTATAGTCTAGTCTATAGTCTAGTCTATAGTCTAGTCTATAGTCTAGTCTATAGTCTAGTCTATAGTCTAGTCTATAGTCTAGTCTATAGTCTAGTCTATAGTCTAGTCTGTAGTCTAGTCTATAGTCTAGTCTATAGTCTAGTCTATAGTCTAGTCTATAGTCTAGTCTATAGTCTAGTCTATAGTCTAGTCTATAGTCTAGTCTATAGTCTAGTCTATAGTCTAGTCTATAGTCTAGTCTATAGTCTAGTCTATAGTCTAGTCTATAGTCTAGTCTATAGTCTAGTCTATAGTCTAGTCTATAGTCTAGTCTATAGTCTAGTCTATAGTCTAGTCTATAGTCTAGTCTATAGTCTAGTCTATAGTCTAGTCTATAGTCAGTCTATAGTCTAGTCTATAGTCTAGTCTATAGTCTAGTCTATAGTCTAGTCTATAGTCTAGTCTATAGTCTAGTCTATAGTCTAGTCTATAGTCTAGTCTATAGTCTAGTCTATAGTCTAGTCTATAGTCTAGTCTATAGTCTAGTCTATAGTCTAGTCTATAGCCTAGTCTATAGTCTAGTCTATAGTCTAGTCTATAGTCTAGTCTATAGTCTAGTCTATAGTCTAGTATAGTCTAGTCTATAGTCTAGTCTATAGTCTAGTCTATAGTCTAGTCTATAGTCTAGTCTATAGTCTAGTCTATAGTCTAGTCTATCTAGTCTATAGTCTAGTCTATAGTCTAGTCTATAGTCTAGTCTATAGTCTAGTCTATAGTCTAGTCTATAGTCTAGTCTATAGTCTAGTCTATAGTCTAGTCTATAGTCTAGTCTATAGTCTAGTCTATAGTCTAGTCTATAGTCTAGTCTATAGTCTAGTCTATAGTCTAGTCTATAGTCTAGTCTATAGTCTAGTCTATAGTCTAGTCTATAGTCTAGTCTATAGTCTAGTCTATAGTCTAGTCTATAGTCTAGTCTATAGTCTAGTCTATAGTCTAGTCTATAGTCTAGTCTATAGTCTATATCTAGTCTATAGTCTAGTCTATAGTCTAGTCTAGTCTATAGTCTAGTCTATAGTCTAGTCTATAGTCTAGTCTATAGACTAGTCTATAGTTTAGTCTATAGTCTAGTCTATAGTGTAGTCTATAGACTAGTCTATAGTCTAGTCTATAGTCTAGTCTATAGTCTAGTCTATAGTCTAGTCTATAGTCTAGTCTATAGTCTAGTCTATAGTCTAGTCTATAGTCTAGTCTAGTCTATAGTCTAGTCTATAGACTAGACTATAGTCTAAACTATAGACTAGTTTATGGTCTAGCGGAAAATTCGTTAAATACTTTAAATCCTAAAAGTACCTGAAAGTTAGTACTTTTTCGAAATTTCAATTTTCCATGCCTGATTTGGGGTCTTATCTATGTTGGACTGAGTCATGATCAGACAGCATATGAGTCAGAAACCTTAGAAGCAGATAAAACATAATATGATTTATTAGACGATGAACATCCGAGTTATCTAATCTGGATAGTTATTTCTTTTAATTTTAAAATTTAATTCGTATTTCAATTATATTGACAACACTGAGATGACTACTTGCAAACTTGGTCTCTTCTAGTTTAACAGATTAAGTGAAAATTTAATTTTGAAAACTTCCTGTTTGTCAAACTACAGAGAACAGGTTAAATGCAATAAGTTTTGTTTTTCAAGAAAAAAGCTGCAACTAGAAAAAATTACCTTTAACATCTAAAAGTATTTTACAAAGTGGAAAATACCACCATAATTCCGAGAGTAAAAGTAACATGATCATTAACAATCAGTGGCAGCCGCCATCGTCAAGATGTTTCTCTCAATTATTGGTTGGTGAGTTTTCAATTATTACCAATTGTTAAACAAAAATATAAATAAAATCGAATAACATACATTTACCACAACAGTGACAGCACATACCCATAGAGTGAGTCATTTAGTTAGTGTCAAATCTATAACAACAAAAAGTCTTCAGTTAAGTGAATAACCGAACTTGGAAAACACACACAACTAACAGATCTTGCACAAGTTTTGTATAGTGAATAAACTCTTTCAATGATTACTGGTTTTGACCAGCACTCTTAGACAAAACATCATCGGTAGCAGAAACATCATCATCATTTTGGGTAAAAGCTACGGAAATAACGAGAGTGTTTTGGTGTGTATTGCCATTTTTTTAAGATTAAAAATAATTTACAATTTATTTTCTTTTTTCTTGCGCCTGTGAATTTAATTTTGAATATCGGCACGATCCCCTAGTAAAACAAAAAAAAAAATAACAAATATTTTTGTGGCGGATCAAACGTAGTAGCAACCTACTTTAACTTAACTTTAACGATTATAATCGTCGTTCTTGTTTTCATGGATTTTTTTGCAAATGTTTACATTTTGTTCATGATTCTTGAGTCTGTTTGAGCGTTAAAGTGATGAATAAGAGATTTTTTGCCGGTTATTTAAAATGAAATTGTGTGTATAGCTTTCACTTGATGACCGGATTTTTTTGTGGTTTTAGGCAATTACCAACCACTAACCAATTTCATAGACAATTTTATATGTTTAAAAATAAATTTAATATTGTTACTATTGATGATAAACAAAAAAGGTGGATGAGTTCTTAATTGGTAAAATATTTAGATTTTAAATAAAGAATTTGATTATTAATAGAGCCAAAATGAATAATAAATAACTTAAAGAATGTTACGTTAACCGAAACAAAATCAAACTAGAACTGAACTAGAACTGAACTAGTACTGAACTGGAACTGAACTAGAACTGAACTAGAACTGAACTAGAACTGAACTAGAACTGAACTAGAACTGAACTAGAACTGAACTAGAACTGAACTAGAACTGAACTAGAACTGAACTAGAACTGAACTAGAACTGAACTAGAACTGAACTAGAACTGAACTAGAACTGAACTAGAACTGAACTAGAACTGAACTAGAACTGAACTAGAACTGAACTAGAACTGAACTAGAACTGAACTAGAACTGAACTAGAACTGAACTAGAACTGAACTAGAACTGAACTAGAACTGAACTAGAACTGAACTAGAACTGAACTAGAACTGAACTAGAACTGAACTAGAACTGAACTAGAACTGAACTAGAACTGAACTAGAACTGAACTAGAACTGAACTAGAACTGAACTAGAACTGAACTAGAAACTGAACTAGAACTGAACTAGAACTGACTAGAACTGAACTAGAACTGAACTAGAACTGACTACTGAACTAGAACTGAACTAGAACTGAACTAGAACTGAACTAGAACTGAACTAGAACTGAACTAGAACTGAACTAGAACTGAACTAGAACTGAACTAGAACTGAACTAGAACTGAACTAGAACTGAACTAGAACTGAACTAGAACTGAACTAGAACTGAACTAGAACTGAACTAGAACTGAACTAGAACTGAACTAGAACTGAACTAGAACTGAACTAGAACTGAACTAGAACTGAACTAGAACTGAACTAGAACTGAACTAGAACTGAACTAGAACTGAACTAGAACTGAACTAGAACTGAACTAGAACTGAACTAGAACTGAACTAGAACTGAACTAGAACTGAACTAGAACTGAACTAGAACTGAACTAGAACTGAACTAGAACTGAACTAGAACTGAACTAGAACTGAACTAGAACTGAACTAGAACTGAACTAGAACTGAACTAGAACTGAACTAGAACTGAACTAGAACTGAACTAGAACTGAACTAGAACTGAACTAGAACTGAACTGAACTAGAACTGAACTAGAACTGAACTAGAACCGAACTAGAACTGAACTGGAACTGAATTCCTTTAATTAGTTTTATGTGACTTGGTTGCTTGCCGGGTAAACTCAATCAAAAGAAATGAAACTACTTTAAAATGCAACCCTTAAAAAAAGACATACCAAATAATCAACACGGTCATACACAAACCGTTACTATGGTAAATAGAATAAAATCAAACGAAAACAAAACATAAAACTAACACTAACATTAACTAAAACATTTTTTTAATTCTCCATAATTTAAAGAAATAAATATGGGTACTCCGGGAAATTGGCTACAGGTTATTGTAGACGGAAATGAAAAACCTCAGTTAACCACTTTACCATCATGTATGACTGTCAGCGACATCAAATCAGACAATTATGTTAGATTAATAGCCACTGATATAACATTAGATGAGGAACCACCAGCAGCTAAACTAAAAGTATTTCGAGGTATTGATTTGGAATCCGAACATGAATTAAAGGGCATACCAGCAGCTATAGAAAGTTTATACATAGATGAATCGGAACCGAAAACACCGAGTAAGTTAGAATTGTCAAGATTAGTTAGAAAGAAATGTTTGGGATTATAACACTTGTTTCGAAATTTTTAGTTTTGGCTGTGGCTATCAGTGAATCGGTGTTATTCTATCGTCATATGAAACCTTATTTCAAATACACTTTACCCGAATTAGAGGTTTTGGAGGAAGAAAAGGAAATATGGCGTAAATTAAATATAGTAAGAACGGATGATCAAGAAGCTCTTATAGAGGAACTTAAAGCTATGGAACGTCCTAAACTCACTAGGAAATCGCAGCATTTGCTAAATCTAATGCCCCAAGACAGGGATGTAAGACAACACAGTATTTTTAAATTTATGAATTTTTATTATTAATTACTTTATATGCAGAGATTTATACGAGAACAAGGAGAAAACAATTTAATACGTTATCCATCTGCCGTTGCCCTTAAATGTCTAGCCCGTGTTTCGAGTGGCGTTTCACAACCTCCCTCACATTTAGTAATTGCCACCGATACTGGTGAGATTTTAATACTAGAACCTCAAAGTTTTGGCCTATTATATCGAGCAAGGGCTTGTCCCGAAATAACTCCTAGCATGTTGGCTGTCAATGGTTGTTTTGAAACAGACTTCTGTATTGCTATAGCCACACGTTATGGCTCGGTTTATCTGTTACGCAAAACAGCCAACGAAGGTCAAGAAATATTTAAGTTATCCTATCCTTTAACTGGCTTAGTTCTACTGCCCATTGATCAAACCATAGTAGTGTCATCGATGGATAAGAAATTACTTTGCTATTCGAAAAAGGGTAAACAATTGTATATGGTACGTTTGGAGGAACAACCCATTTGTATGAGCATGGTGAATTTAACTCATTTGGGTTTAACTCTAATTTGTGTGGCTTTACAAGGCGGACTCGTGCAATTTTATATGCAAAAATATTTAGTGGATGAATTTCAAATTTGTGGCACTGTCAGTTCCATGATATTTGGCTATTTGGGTTTGGAAGAACATGTTCTTTGCTTGACAACTATTGAAGGAGATTTGGTGATTAAAATACTAAAGAGAACAGCATCATTTGAACCAAATCAAAAGTTATCCGGACGTGGCATGCCGCATGTCTCAGATATGGTACAAAATGCAGTTTTGGAAAAACCCAAAAAGAGTTCTATTTTTGTAGAACAAGTGGCTCGAGAAAAACAGAATGCTAAATGTTTGTAGTTTTAAAATATTTTATCATCAAAATTTAATTTTAGATTTTTTTTTATTACAGCCACTTATGGTAGCTTTCAAGTGGAATTATGGCGTTTAAGACATACTGCTGCTAGAGCCACAGTTGATGCTTTAAATTCTTCCGAACGCACTATATCGGGTGACATAACTCATGCTCCTGTCAAACTTTCAGCTGAAGTTTGTGGTGTCGGTCCGGTCTTTCGTTTGTACTTAACCATACAAAACTTATCAACATACAAAATGGCTTCGAATTTAGTAGTTTTACTTCATGCCGACAGACGCCATTATACTATACAAAAATCTATGGCCAAGGTAAATATTCCATCATATAAATATTACAGATTAAGCTCCGTTTATCAATTGGGTGGCTATTTAAGAAACTACAGCCGATTTTAGTTTTTTTATATAAAATTCGATATTTGATGGGAAAACGAAGTGATCACAGATTAAGCTCCGTTTGTCGATTGGGTGGCTATTTAAGAAACTACGGCCGATTTTAGTTTTCTCATATAAAAATCGATATTTGATGGAAAATCGAAGTGATCACAGATTAAGCTCCGTTTGTCGATTGGGTGGCTATTTAAGAAACTACAGCCGATTTTAGTTTTCTCATATAAAAATCGATATTTGATGAAAAATCGAAGTGATCACAGATTAAGCTCCGTTTGTCGATTGGGTGGCTATTTAAGAAACTACAGCCGATTTTAGTTTTCTCATATAAAAATCAATTTTTAATGGAAAATCGAAGTGATCACTGATTAAGCTCCGTTTGTCGATTGGGTGGCTATTTAAGAAACTACAGCCGATTTTAGTTTTCTCATATAAAAATCGATTTATAATGGAAAATCGAAGTGATCACAGATTAAGCTCCGTTTGTCGATTGGGTGGCTATTTAAGAAACTACAGCCGATTTTAGTTTTCTCATATAAAAATCGATTTTTAACGGAAAATCGAAGTGATCACGGATTAAGCTCCGTTTGTCGATTGGGTGGCTATTTAAGAAACTACAGCCGATTTTAGTTTTTTCATATAAAAATCAATTTTTAATGGACAATGGAAGTGATCACAGATTAAGCTCCGTCTGTCGATTGGGTGGCTATTTAAGGAACTACAGCCGATTTTAGTTTTCTCATAGAAAAATCGATATTTCATGGAAAATCGAAGTGATCACGGATTAAGCTCCGTTTGTCGATTGAGTGGCTATTTAAGAAACTACAGCCGATTTTAGTTTTCTCATATAAAAATCGATATATGATGGAAAATCGAAGTGATCACGGATTAAGCTCCGTTTGTCGATTGGATTTTTATTTAAGAAACTGCAGCCGATTTTAGTTTTCTCATGTAAAAATCGATTTTTAATGGAAAATCGAAGTGATCACGGATTAAGCTCTGTTTGTCGATTGGGTGGCTATTTAAGAAACTACAGCCGATTTTAGTTTTCTCATGTAAAAATCGATTTTTAATGGAAAATCGAAGTGATCACGGATTAAGCTTCGTTTGTCGATTGGGTGGCTATTTAAGAAACTACAGCCGATTTTAGTTTTCTCATATAAAAATGGATTTATAATGGAAAATCGAAGTGATCACAGATTAAGCTCCGTTTGTCGATTGGGTGGCTATTTAAGAAACTACAGCCGATTTTAGTTTTCTCATATAAAAATCGATATTTGATGGAAAATCGAAGTGATCACAGATTAAGCTCTGTTTGTCGATTGGGTGGCTATTTAAGAAACTACAGCCGATTTTAGTTTTCTTATATAAAAATTGCTATTTGATGGGAAATCGAAGTGATCACAGATTAAGCACCGTTTGTCGATTGGGTGGCTATTTAAGAAACTACAGCCGATTTTAGTTTTCTCATGTAAAAATCGATTTTTAATGGAAAATCGAAGTGATCACGGATTAAGCTCCGTTTGTCGATTGGGTGGCTATTTAAGAAACTACAGCCGATTTTAGTTTTCTCATGTAAAAATCGATTTTTAATGGAAAATCGAAGTGATCACGGATTAAGCTCCGTTTGTCGATTGGGTGGCTTTTTAAGAAACTACAGCCGATTTTAGTTTTTTTTATATAAAAATCGATATTTGATGGGAAATCGAAGTGATCACAGATTAAGCTCCGTTTGTCGATTGGGTGGCTATTTAAGAAACTACAGCCGATTTTAGTTTTTTCATTTACAAATCGATATTTGATGGGAAATCGAAGTGATCACAGATTAAGCTCCGTTTGTCGATTGGGTGGCTATTTAAGAAACTACAGCCGATTTTAGTTTTCTCATATAAAAATGAATTTATAATGGAAAATCGAAGTGATCACGGATTAAGCTCCGTTTGTCGATTGGATGGCTATTTAGGAAACTACAGCCGATTTTAGTTTTCTCATATAAAAATCGACTTTTAATGGAAAATCGAAGTGATCACGGATTAAGCTCCGTTTGTCGATTGGATGGCTATTTAAGAAACTACAGCCGATTTTAGTTTTCTCATATAAAAATCGATTTTTAATGGAAAATCGAAGTGATCACAGATTAAGCTCCGTTTGTCGATTGGGTGGCTATTTAAGAAACTACAGCCGATTTTAGTTTTCTCATATAAAAATGGATTTATAATGGAAAATCGAAGTGATCACAGATTAAGCTCCGTTTGTCGATTGGGTGGCTATTTAAGAAACTACAGCCGATTTTAGTTTTCTCATATAAAAATCGATTTTGAATGGAAAATCGAAGTGATCACAGATTAGGCTCCATTTGTCGATTGGGTGGCTATTTAAGAAACTACAGCCGATTTTAGTTTTCTCACATAAAAATCGATATTTGATGGGAAATCGAAATGATCACAGATTAAGCTCCGTTTGTCGATTGGGTGGCTATTTAAGAAACTACAGCCGATTTTAGTTTTCTCATATAAAAATCGATATTTGATGGGAAATCGAAGTGATCACAGATTAAGCTCCGTTTGTCGATTGGGTGGCTATTTAAGAAACTACAGCCGATTTTAGTTTTTTCATTTACAAATCGATATTTGATGGGAAATCGAAGTGATCACAGATTAAGCTCCGTTTGTCGATTGGGTGGCTATTTAAGAAACTACAGCCGATTTTAGTTTTCTCATATAAAAATCGATATTTGATGGGAAATCGAAGTGATCACAGATTAAGCTCCGTTTGTCGATTGGGTGGCTATTTAAGAAACTACAGCCGATTTTAGTTTTTTCATTTACAAATCGATATTTGATGGGAAATCGAAGTGATCACAGATTAAGCTCCGTTTGTCGATTGGGTGGCTATTTAAGAAACTACAGCCGATTTTAGTTTTCTCATATAAAAATCGATATTTGATGCGAAATCGAAGTGATCACAGATTAAGCTCCGTTTGTCGATTGGGTGGCTATTTAAGAAACTACAGCCGATTTTAGTTTTCTCATATAAAAATCGATATTTGATCGAAAGTCGAAGTGATCACAGATTAAGCTCCGTTTGTCGATTGGGTGGCTATTTAAGAAACTACAGCCGATTTTAGTTTTCTCATGTAAAAATCGATTTTTAATGGAATATCGAAGTGATCACAGATTAAGCTCCGTTTGTCGATTGGGTGGCTATTTAAGAAACTACAGCCGATTTTAGTTTTCTCATATAAAAATCGATTTTTAATCGAAAATCGAAGTGATCACAGATTAAGCTCCGTTTATTGATTTGGTGGCTATTTAAGAAACTACAGCCGATTTTAGTTTTCTCATATAAAAATCGATATTTGATGGAAAATCGAAGTGATCACAGATTAAGCTCCGTTTGTCGATTGGGTGGCTATTTAAGAAACTACAGCCGATTTTAGTTTTCTCATATAAAAATCGATATTTGATGGGAAATCGAAGTGATCACAGATTAAGCTCCGTTTGTCGATTGGGTGGCTATTTAAGAAACTACAGCCGATTTTAGTTTTTTCATTTACAAATCGATATTTGATGGGAAATCGAAGTGATCACAGATTAAGCTCCGTTTGTCGATTGGGTGGCTATTTAAGAAACTACAGCCGATTTTAGTTTTCTCATATAAAAATCGATATTTGATGCGAAATCGAAGTGATCACAGATTAAGCTCCGTTTGTCGATTGGGTGGCTATTTAAGAAACTACAGCCGATTTTAGTTTTCTCATATAAAAATCGATTTTTAATGGAAGATCGAAGTGATCACAGATTAAGCTCCGTTTGTCGATTGGGTGGCTATTTAAGAAACTACAGCCGATTTTAGTTTTCTCATATAAAAACAATTTTTAAAGGAAAATCGAAGTGATCACAGATTAAGCTCCGTTTGTCGATTGGGTGGCTATTTAAGAAACTACAGCCGATTTTAGTTTTCTCATATAAAAATCGATATTTGATGGGAAATCGAAGTGATCACGGATTAAGCTCCGTTTGTCGATTGGGTGGCTATTTAAGAAACTACAGCCGATTTTAGTTTTCTCATATAAAAATCGATTTTTAATGGAAAATCGAAGTGATCACAGATTAAGCTCCGTTTGTCGATTGGATGGCTATTTAAGAAACTACAGCCAATTTTAGTTTTCTCATATAAAATTTGATTTTTAATGGAAAATCGAAGTGATCACGGATTAAGCTCCGTTTGTCGATTGGATGGCTATTTAAGAAACTACAGCCGATTTTAGTTTTCTCACATAAAAATCGATATTTGATGGGAAATCGAAATCATCACAGATTAAGCTCCGTTTGTCGATTGGGTGGCTATTTAAGAAACTACAGCCGATTTTAGTTTTCTCATATAAAAATCAATTTTTAATGGAAAATCGAAGTGATCACGGATTAAGCTCCGTTTGTCGATTGGATTTTTATTTAAGAAACTGCAGCCGATTTTAGTTTTCTCATGTAAAAATCGATTTTTAATGGAAAATCGAAGTGATCACGGATTAAGCTCTGTTTGTCGATTGGGTGGCTATTTAAGAAACTACAGCCGATTTTAGTTTTCTCATGTAAAAATCGATTTTTAATGGAAAATCGAAGTGATCACGGATTAAGCTTCGTTTGTCGATTGGGTGGCTATTTAAGAAACTACAGCCGATTTTAGTTTTCTCATATAAAAATGGATTTATAATGGAAAATCGAAGTGATCACAGATTAAGCTCCGTTTGTCGATTGGGTGGCTATTTAAGAAACTACAGCCGATTTTAGTTTTCTCATATAAAAATCGATATTTGATGGAAAATCGAAGTGATCACAGATTAAGCTCTGTTTGTCGATTGGGTGGCTATTTAAGAAACTACAGCCGATTTTAGTTTTCTTATATAAAAATTGATATTTGAT